AGTTCTTGTTGTTGATAAAAAAATAGTGGCCAAAACACCCTTCTGAGACATCTTTAACAAGACACTTTATGGACCATTTATTTGTATATATATAACATAGGAAATCTTAATAATTTAGTCACCTTTATGCTAAATAGCTAAATCCATTTCACGTTAAACAACTGAAGTTGTGCTAAATAAATATCAAAACTGAAATTTAATTTTTACCTAATTTAATATCGAGTAAAGATTATTTAATAAAAGTGCTTGATTTAGTGTTTAGGAGGCATAAAATAAGTCAATGGTGACAGATAGATAACTGAGCCTTCTCTTTAAAAATGCTTACATTATTAATAACTTATTTGGCTGGGTATGTGCATCTCTTTAGCACCCATTCTGGCTTCTCTTTCATGTCAGTCACGGCCTGATTCTTCTCTTACCTATCTCAAGAGGCAGCCCATCTGATCCTTGTTTTTCATCACTCCCTAAATTCAGTTTCTATGGTCTTTAATGCCTAATTCTATAAAAGGCTAATTCCAATACTTTCCACAAAACATCTAGTTCAAATGGGCATTTTTCTTAAACAGCAAAATTTTGACTACCATTGTGTTGAAATGTGCCCTTGTGAATTATGTCTCATAGACAAAGATATGTTTAAATTGCTTGCTAACTAGACTTGACTTTATTGTTTTCACTTTCTCAAAGCATTAGTAGCTCTTTAGAGACTCGTTTTCTTGGAGCAGAAAACAAAATGTGTTTTTAATGTGTAAAGTTCAGATCATGTAAGTTGGACACTTCAAGCATTTGACCCTTAAAACTGTATTTTAGTAGTGTATTTTACAATTAACTCCAGTAAAATTATTTATACAGCAGGTAAAAAAGAGAAAACTAGATATAAGGCAAAAGATACCATTTTTTAAAAATGTAGCTTTGTTTTTAGCTATTAGAGGGAAAAGTGCATTTAACATCCTACTTTTTAACTCTCAGATTATCTTTATATAAGATACTGTAATATTCATTTGAGAATTGGGGAAAGTGGGACAGAGAGTAGCAAAGGTCCTGGCCCGAGGTCACAACCATGGAATGGGTGTACTGGGATTGCTTCTCATGCAGCACAGAAGTCTACTGAATCTGCTGTGCTCCACTCCTGGATAGAATCAGAGTCAGACAACTGTAGTCCTCCATATAACACCATAAACACTCAATGAACAGTGACACTAATATGAATTACCACTTCTGCTGTAACATAAGCATTCCCATGGTGGAATTTTGGAGGCTTTAAAGCAGAGATAAAATTTTTATGTTGGTAAGAATGTTGCATATTGGTACTTCAGCTTGCCAAGTGCTATTTTTATAATCCAAAATTAAAAACGATTTCACAAATTACCTAGGTTTTTGTGTATGAGGAGCATGCTTCTCTCTTTTATTCGGTTTGCTCATAACAGGAAGCACAGGTTTGCATAGAAATTAGATGCCTCATTTATATTTATTGTAATGGAATCAAACTAGTGTACAGAATAAGCAAATAATTTATTCTATTCGTTGCAGTCCCATGCTTAATTCTCTATGTTACATATGATGTTTGTGTGATCTGTATAGTAAAATTGTTAGACGTGATACTTTAAAAACAATTTTTATTATACAATACACAATTTGATTCTATTTTTATTTTTATCATCAGATTACCTTTAGTGGTAAAATAAAATTAGTATTAATAGAGTCTCAATATTTGTTCTTGGTCTATGTTTTGAATGAAACTTGATAAATCATGTGAGAAAGTGTGTGTGTGTGTGTGTGTGTGTGTGTGTGTGTGTGTGTGTGTGCATTATAAGGACTTCAGGTATGTGTAAATGCAAGTGCCTGGATTCCTTTTCCATATCAAGACATTAAAAAATCATGACACACAACTGTCCTTTAAAATTCTCAGTTCTTGAAACCATTTGAAGTTGTCTCAATCCTCTCCCAGATAGGGTAACAAGGATATAGTGATATAGCACATACTTTGGTGATGTATTTTACTCCTTATAGATAACTATCACTCCTTTGTAGAAAATAAAATACAACATTATTCGATTGGATGTGGTGTTAGTTTAAATAATGTAATATAATGATCTTAGTCATTGTGATTTCCTCCTTAGTTTCATGGGTATGATCAGTGTTTACTATTTCTAGTTCTTCCTGTTCAAATAGAAAGATACCCAAGCTGATAAAGTTTATGTGTGCCGTCCTTCATTTACATTCATAGATGATAATCAAACGTAATTAAAAATAGAAGAAGTATTTGGGTAGAAAACTGAATAGTGTACTAACACCTACAGATATTCCATGCCAAAGGCACTGACATTTAAATAAAGGAAGTTGGTAGTAAAAAGCCTGTAGGAATCATGAAGAGAAGATTGGTTTTATGTTTATAGCATTTGTGCCGGGCACCTAAAACAGTGAAATTCAGTGGAGTAGATTCCATTCCTATATAATCTTTTGTGTTTCTCAACACCAGAATCTTAGTGACTAGGGTCAAGGAATAGTTAATGTGTTATCATAAGCATATCTTTCCACATAACCCTAGTATAGACTGGTCCACTGTTATCTTCTCCCGTTAATCAGCTATCAAGGGACTCATTCTTTTATTCCATCTTTATCACCACAAGTTTTATTAACCCTGTACTGCTTTTTGTCTTCTATTTTCCTTACTCTATCTCTTTCACTGCTGATGAACTTGAACTGATCCCAAGTTAATCCTCCACATGTCTAATCTGATGTGTTTGTTCTCCTTATTGCTTAAAAGTTACCAGATGAGTCTAACTTTTGTTCTTAGTACATTCCAGGTCTGTAAAGCATATAGAAATTAACCCCTCTTACAAGACTTTCATGAGTTTAGACTCCATTGTTACCTCCTTGTGGGCCATTCTGTTTGTCTCCTTAGTGGTTATAATTTATCTTTACAATGATAATTATTTTGTATAATATCTGATACTGCATAATATATATAGATTGCAATTTACATTGTGTTATTAATTATTTTCCTCATTCATGTTATTTTTGATAGATCATTTTTCTGTGTGCTTACTTTTTCTTTTCATAGTATATTAAATACTTAACTGTCTAATATCATGAACTAACCCTGCACATAACTGTCAATACATAAACATTTGACTAAACTAAGACCCACTTCATGCCCCTTTTACCTCTGCTCCCAATTCTGGTGGTCTATATAAAATACTATAACACACGTTATGTAGGTTAGAATACTTACTATATCCCCAGGATTTTACTATGTTAGATATTGCTCCATCTGCAGTCATTTACCTCTCTGAATAAGTAACAAATAGACTTTGTTGTTCTAATTTATTTCTTTCTCATTCAGCTCAAAAGACTTCACCAGGTTTTCCCAGGGCTACATGATTAGTCACAAGTCATGTTAAGTCACTCTTGATTAATCATTCTTTTTCTGTTGTTCTGTAAGCTATGCTCTTACGAGACAAAGAAAACAACTAGATTGGAAAACATATTTTACACCTTCAGATGAAAGAGTTGAAAACTCACAAGATACAGTTTGGTTTGACTGTATGTCCAACTCTAAAGGCCTTGATGGAAATTTTATTGTATTCTAAAAATATGTGATTTTATTTTTGTGGAAAAAGTACAATATCAACATTGAAAGTAGTTCTGCCCTCAATTACAAGGAGAAGCTCTTAGATCCTTTTACATTTTCAGAGGCATCAGTAATTGATCTAAGAAGGTGGCCCAGAGAAATCAGTATCTTCATCTAAGAAGATGGAGGCGTCAGTTTATGAAACTAAGAAACATTAGACCTTTGATTGTAATGATTTTCTTTTTGTATACGTAAGATGGTGGTGCAAGCATAATACAAAATAAAGACACAGTATATCCTAATTGGTTTAAATCGCCAAAAGAATGAGCGTATTCAACTCATTTTACAAAAGGAAGAAATATATTAAGCACTAAAACAGTTCTCTGGAAACAGCGATGATCTTTCTATACCCTTGGACACAAGAGTCAATATGGTAATCATATGTGACAGAGACCACCTCAAATCCTGTGGTCTCTGTCAGATATATGGGTGCTAAAAAGTCTTGATTTGCTTTCTTCTCATCTATGTTAAGTGTATTGGAAGTACCAATAAACTTTACATTTGGCATAGATATACACAAGGAAAACTTTAGGATGGGATTTCCTGTGAGATACTTGTCAACAGGAGGGGGAAGTGGCTTACAGAATGGGGGAGTGATAAGGGCAAAATTTATTATACAAAAGTCTGATAATTAGAAAATTTCTAAATATATACCTGAATACTCTGGAATATAGTTGTATTTTTCTTCCACAGTTTCTGGAAAATATAAAAATATTTTCATGTAAAGGTATAAACTTAGCAATTTATATACTGTCTTTTCAGAGAAAGGTATAGAATCTTGGGAATATTTAGGGATGCTGAATCATAGGCAGCAGGACTCAATTCTGAGTGTTTATTGACTCAAGAGAGAAAAGCTCTTTGTTGGAATTAAATGGTTTTGTCTTACAGAAGAGTCAACTGAAATGTGCTGGCAACACTGATGACAACAGTTTGAGGGCAGTTGTTTCATTTGAATTACACAGCAATAGTTATTTGAGTACTCTCTTATCATTTTTGTGTGCCTTATACCATTTAAATATAAAACTAATGATTGGTTTTATTATTAATCTCTCTCTCCTTCCCTCTTCCTCTCTTTCTCCCTCTTTCTCTGTGTATTCTCTCTCTCCCTTGCTTGTCTCATCTATATAATTTGCAACGTCCTTTCTTCCTTCATTCCGGCCTCACTCAAACCACCCATCCACTGTCTTCCCCTCAATCCTAATTTTCTCTTCATGCTCACTGGCCCTCCTAATTTCCCTTCCTCTAACACGTCCTGTCTCCCTCCATCTTTTTCTTCCTTCCCATCATCATCACTTTCTCCTTTACACCTCTTTCCTGCTCATTTTTCTGTCTTCCTGTTCTCTTTCTCCCTTTCTGTCTTTCTTTTCAGATGACACGAGAACAATTCATACTGGCAACACAACAGAACAACCTGCCGAGAACTGAAAATGCACAACTTTACCCTGTGGGGATTTATGGATGGCGAAAGAGGTGCTTATACTTCTTTGTCCTTCTGCTGTTGGTTACCATGATAGTTAACTTAGCCATGACAATATGGATATTGAAGGTTATGAATTTTACTGTGGTAAGTACCACCATGATTTTACATCTATTGCTTTGGGATCAAAGATGTTTGAACTTTATTGTTATTTTCAATCTCAAATGATTCATTTTATTCTTCACAAGTGTATACCTTAAAGTTTCCAAAGTGATCACAAATTTTACTTTAAAATTGCTTTGAATATCTTTGGATTTTGGTGTGTATTTGCTATTCTATCTGTCATTTTAAGACTGGAAAATTTAGTTTGTTACAATAGAAGAGAAGCTTGATTCATAAACAACTTACTCTGTATTTATAGAATAATCATTAGTCAATACTTGTTACCCTTTGAACAGAGAAATACTTTTTTAAACTTCAATATTCTAAAACACAACTGTTTTGGGTTAATATTAATATAGACTATGGTTGTATATTTATCTGTATTTGCCTTATATGTTCTGGTTATTCTCCATTGATGAATGAATTATAACTGACCTCCCGAGGTCATATCATTCCTTCAGAAATTATGCTTGGTATATAGAAGATAAAACACAAATGGACCAGAAATAAAATTAATGATTAGTAACAGCTTAATAGCAAAATGATTCTGTAACTTATTAATGAGTTTGGATTCACATATGAATAACTTGTCATCTTTAAAAAAGTCAAGTTTAGATTGCTTTAAATTTTCAAACTCAAGGCTTAAACATTTCAAGCATTCTCTTAAGCCATTCTGTTGTGCCTTTGCTCACATAGCTCAGATATATTTACAGTCTGGGGTATATCTTGCTACACGAATTCTTCTTATTTTATTTCCTATATTCTCAAGTTGGTTGGTGTGATATCATTGAATTTTGGGTATTGGACTGGTTATTTATTATTTTTCAGACACAACTGGATACTGAATTAACAACAAAGACAAAAACCCCTTTTTGACTCTACTAACACAATTATTTTACCCTGAAGTAGAATCTCAGAGAGGAAATGGGCTAGGCATCATGTCACAATGGAGAATGTTGCTGACATGTGCAGAAGGAACCTTGTTGGGAAGGTAGCCCAAACTACCACCCAAAAGAAACTAAGTTTCAAATTACAATTCAAGAAAATATATTCATGGAGAAAAATGAGCTCAGAAACTATTCCTTTTTTTTTCTGAGACGAACTAAAAGGAGAAGACCTGTACTAGCAGGAAACTCATTTGTTTTCATTCCTTTCTAAAACAAACAAAAACATATTGTATAAATGATTTGGAATCTATGGTCTTGGATCAGGGCAAGGAAGTATGAAGGAGGTGAGATGCAGAGGTAATGTTTGCTAATGAGATTCACTGGTAATGCATCTAAAGCACACTAATATCAATTGACTCCCTAAGTTTCTCCTGCTGGTTAGGGAAATTTGGGTACAGAGTTTGTATTCTATGCTCTTTATGTGCTTTTCCAGATCACTGTATTATTGATTGATTTATTGCATGGTGAATGACATGCTTATACCTCTGGAGAAAATTCTCTCTTACTTTAAGCACCAACTAAACTAATGTTTGCTAACAGCACTGTTTCCAACATTTATTTTTTCAGTGTTTGAAAGCCAAATAAAACCAAATACATATATTATACAAACATAATATAAATAAATTGTATATAATTGTAAGATAAATATAATTTATGTATATATATAAAGAAATATGTAATAAGTATCACATTCACAAATAGGATACCTAACTAAGGTGTGTTCTTTTATTATTAACATTTTAAATAAAAAAGTCATTACAATATAGTTACTATATAGGTATAAGTATTTCCCCCATATACTATGTTGGTAGAATAAAAATAACAACTTGAATATCTTTTAATGAAAGAAATAAATAATGTTTTTAACTATTGCAATGTCAATAGTTTGATTTCCTCTATTAAAAGCCATATGTTATTTTTTGAAAGAGCAGGTCAGCTCTGTCACACTAGAAAGGCTTGCTTCCAACCAGGGACCACAAGCCGAATAACCTTCTAGAACATATTTAAATTAATTAGAAAGGATACTAACCACATAATTACATGGCTGTGTGCCTCACACTCATAGGACATGGCTCCTGCTGACACAAAGGCCTACAAGTCATTTTGAATTCTAATTGAAAGCATCATCTGTGTCTTCAGGATTCTTATAAGCCTTGGTGTATCTATCACCCATGGAGCTACATAATTTGAGCCCCAGTTAGCCCAAATTTAAATGTTGTATGGCAACATAGTCTCCCCTCTCATGGTTTTGTTTTCATTCGTTGCTTTTTCCCTTACTTACTTTTTAAATCTGGATTTTACTTATGTTAAGATAAAACTGTCCTTTCTTTAAATACTGAGCTATTTGCATATGGTCTCATGCAAACAAAGTTATGATTGTGTCAAGATAATATTTCTAATTACCAATCTGCTATAGTATAGATTTTCATAATTTTCAGAAATAATCGTAATTTGCGTCATTGAATATTGAATTTTCTAAGTTAAATACAGCTACAAACTCTGAACTAATTTATAAACCTCCTACATACAGCAGTCAAAGTGAACTTTATGCTTTCTTAGTATAGTATGCATGGATTTCTTTACCCAGAGTATGCCAGATATCGTTGCTATATGATGGAGGACAGAAAATAATGTGTAAATTATTTGGGGAGTCTTGTTGCTCTGTACAAAACATATTTCATTTTCATTATAACTGCTACCTTCCACCAAATGGGGATACACAGCTGCTAAAATCCTTTATTTGAACACGGTGGACATGTTATTCTTTTCAAAATATTGGGCTTTCATCACAACAAAGCTACATAATGACATGTTTTATGATGTTGCTTAAATTACATCATTGTGCCTAGTGCTACACATGGTCCATGTGATTGATATGACCTTATTAATTGCCAGTTATTTTTGTGACAAATAAACTCATTCTGCATATTGAGATGCCTAGTAGTAGAAAGCAAAGAAGAAGGAAATGAGTTAATGCTGCAGGGAGGAAAACAGGAGAGATACAAATAATAATTTCCTGGCTATGATAGTTAATAATAATAGGACTGGCTGGGCGGTGGTGGCGCACGCCTTTAATCCTAGCACCCGGGAGGCAGAGGCAGGCGGATCTCTGTGAGTTCGAGGCCAGGCTGGACCGACAGCCTCCAAAACAATACAGAGAAACCCTGACTCGTAAAACCAATATAATAATAATAATAATAATAATAATAATAATAATAATAGGACTGAGTTGAAGGGGGGGGAGAGACTTTGAAGCTCATTCTCCCACATCAGTGAAAGCCAACTAAAACAGAATTTGTTGATGTCAGTCCATTAACTGGTATACTTTTGTGGTTCAGTATAAGTTAAGGAACCGTATAAGTCTATCTGTACAGTCTTTCAGATCCCACTCTAAGTAATTCAACTTTGTATTTGAAAAATGAAATTTATATAACCAAGAAGTATTTATTTTAATGATAATCACAACAAAAGTCATTGATATAAATCTCCTGCAGTATAACTTTATAGGATATATCAAGTAGCTAGTAATAAGGTATAGGGTACGTTGGAAGGCAAATGGGTGATGAATGAGTTTGTAACATATTACATACATTTTTTTAAATAAGGAGAGTACAAATGCCATCAATTAATTGAAAGGGAATCATAAAATCATGAACTCCTGACAGAGAAGCTAACAATTCTCTCTGTTGAAAATAATTAAAATAACCAGTTAAGGCAGACTTTTCATATACATATCTGAAGGGTGATATTATTAGTTTAATGGATGTTGGCTGAAAGGAAGTCCTAAGAGAAAGTTGTTTGGGTATTTTAGTCATTTTATATGAGAGGGGACGTATAAACCCATAATTCAAACATCTATATATTGGTAGAGTTATTTTGTGACTATCACATCTATCTAGACATTTAGTATATACCCAATCATTCTTATAATGATGGATTGTTTAGCCAAGTGTATGGATTGTATCATTTTTAGTATCCTCATATTTTGATGTAGTCCACGAAAAGCTAAATTCGGGTTCCATTATTTAATCTGTTATAAATTTATTCTTAAAGTATTATCTATTGTTTTAAATAACTTGTTTATTAATAGTCTATTAATTCAATAATATTTTGTAAACATGTCTATTCAAATCCTTAAATGCATTTTTCTTTAATGGCTAAAAATCAGGATACGGGAAATATTTTGTAGAAAATAAATTTAATCACCTGCTTTTCTTTATTTCAAATGTTACAAATTGTATAAGCCCAAGATAACCAATCTTTCCAGGGTAGATTTTTCACTTTTTGATTATAGGTCTGAGAGTGGTTTCTGCTTTATCTGCTGTGTTTTGGTTTAAGAGATTTTTTTCTGAAATTCAGAGTATAAATATCACCCATATTTATTCATGAAAATATCTTTGACCTTAAATCTTGTAGTTTTTTTTGATCACTATTAAACTGTCATCTCTTCTCCTGTCACACTTGAGACCAGTAATCTTTAATTTCATCATTAGCCTAGTGACAGTTTTCACTGCTCACATCAATCTACCCAATAAGGCTAAATACACTTACATTATGCTCTTACTAGTTAATATGTCCTTTCATAGCTTACTCTCCACGCTCTCTAAATCAAATCATTTTTAAGTGAAATTTACCACTTTTACTTTACTATACCTAGCATGTAAAGATGAAGACAAATATATTGGCAGTTGAAATTTAAAATAGCCACAGGTTTAATTTGCTTTCTTATTTTTCTCCTAAACATATTCATTTCAATTAGTTTGTTGTAATTGATGTGTTCCCTACACTCTCGACAAAATGTAAACTTTGTGGAACAAAAGCTCTTATTCCCTGAATGGGCGAAGTGCAATTAATTCATTGCCTCTTGTAAATTTCTTAGAATAAATCTCCTCTGTTTATTCACCCTGTTAATAATAGGATTTCTTTGTCATTTTGTTGTTTGGTTGTTTAATTTCCCATTACAAACAATGATCCTACAAAGTTCCCCATAGATCACTATTGATGGTAGGTACACAAATTCAAGATTCACTAAATTAT